CCTTTAWTCCAATTCCAAGCTCCTTTAAATAGGAGATTACAAGAGGGTTTCCTTGTTGTATTTGGCTAGGATAATCCATCTCTTATCGAAACTCAAACTCCTACTTCTAATGGTAATTAACTTCCTATTTCTACTTGTAACACAATTCCTACTAAGAACAAGGGATAAGTAGATGGGATAAGGGATACGGTAAGGGATAAGGGATAAGGTAAGCTGGCGATGAGTTGGCTAGAGTGGCAAGGTAAGTGGGCCCCTGATGAGCTGTCGTGTGGGCCCCCCTTTAGTGCTGTTGCTCAGTGCTACTACCCGCCGCGGTGGTTAGGCTCGCCTACGAGTGTGTCTACTGCTTCTGTGTTTGCAACAGGTGTTCTTTCTGGCAAACTCCTTCCTCGTTCCACGCTTCTCCTTCCCCAACTGCAGTCTTCTTCGAGCTTTCTTCAAAAGCTTCGAAAGCCTTTCTGGCAAACTCCTCTCCAGACTCCACCCAAAAAAAAAAAACAGCCCTAAGCTCTTGCCCACCTTAACATCCCTATCAACCAAACAATCAATCTCCACTCCCCCCCTTCCCCCCTTCTCACCCACCCTGACTGATGAAGTTGCAATTAAGCCCTTTTCACTATTTCAATTGCCCCTTTCCCCTTTATATTCAATTCCAAACCTTCTTCAGTAGCTGGCGTCCGTTGTAGCTGAACCCCTTGTAAATCTTGGTTCATGGCTCCCCTAATCTCCACAACTTTCATCTTCAAAGCTTTACCTTTTGAGCCTTTTTTTCTTATAAACTTGTTTGAACTTGTTGGTAGGACCAGCACCAACCAAACCATCTTTCAAACGTTAAAAAACTTTTGACATGTGGATAAGCTAGAACTTGCTCGGCTCTCTTACTTCCTTCAAAGACTCTGAAGCATAAGCATCCCTTTCCTTGATCTCTGAATTCCTTCTTCGACCTAAGTCGATCCCAAGTATCCCAACTAGGAATTCAAAGCGTAAATGCTCTTATCAAACTTCTGACCCACCATTCTCGTCTCCTTTGCTCGCTTCTTCAAGCTTAGAGCTTGTTTCCAACCTCCTAGCTTCCCCTCCTTTGCACCTTTTCTAAAAACCTTCATCCCCTCTTACTCCCTCCTCTCCTTTCTCTACCCCCAGCCATCTTTCCTCCCCTGTCTCCCTCAACCTTAGCAGAATCCTCGTTAGACGACACCAAACGCTCCACTTGGGGCAAATCAGTAAGAATTTCCACCACAAATGAGCCAAAACAGATAGACCTACCTGAAGGCCGGTTGATCTTTGCATGTTCCTCCAATCTCCCAGCATCTTTCTACCTTGGAATGAAAATAGCTTCACCGCACAAAAGACAACGAAACTCTTTCTCATCAATTTGACTCTCCTTGTTTCTTAGGCTCACAGTTTTTCTTCCAGAACTGTCGTAATTAGCAATGATTCAAACCCAATCCTCCGGCTTCTTGGATTGAAACCTGTGGAAATCCCTCTTTCTCTTTCATGTCTTGAACTGCAAAGCCTTGGTGCCAAATCCTTTTCTTACCTTTATTTTGTTGTAGTTAAAACTACTGCAAACCCTTTTAAGTCTCGATCTCAAGGAATGGTCCCCACTCTCAGCATCCGACGTCTCAAACGAGCCCTGTGGCCATTCGTATATCCCCTTAAAATCGCTCTTAAACCCCCACCCTCCAACATGCACCTATTCATATTTTCCTTCCCGACTCCAGCCGTGTGCCTCTCTTTTATAGTCCCTATCCCACCCAAAATTACTGCAATGCCCCTCGCATCTTCGCCTCCATCATCTTCCTCATCTAAGCGACTCTTCGACTTCCACTCTTCAACAAAGCAACCATCTTGAAACTCCAGCCCTGTTTCAGATTTCTCAAAATTCCTGTTGTCAAGGTGTCACCTTTGCATCTAGTCGCTTTTTAGGGCTCGCCTCGCCCAAATGCCAAGTGGTTTATATACCGATTATACAAATTTGTATAATATTTCATATGTTTTTATATTTTTAGCATATAATATTAATATAGGCAAGATATACTGCACCATCTTCTTATTTCTTTTACTAAATAATATCTTTTAGGGCAAATTTCTTAAACTACCCTTATTGTTTACATATTGTCTTAAAGTAACCTTACTGTTTTTGACAATTGACATCGCTGTTAAGTGCTAATGGAAAGAAACGAAATGTTGAATTTTTCCTCCACTATTCCTTAAATTTTCAAAGTAAAACCCAACTGACAAAAAAAAATCAAAATGAAGAAGCTGATCACAGCTTCAACGATGATGAGACTCTAAACCCATACGGAAATATGGTCTGACAAGCTATCTCTTGATCGGAAGCAAATGTTGAGCTTCACTCCATTGGGTTATTTCTCTCTTGGCTGATGATTGATGTGGATACATTTTCTGTAATGGGTGTCTTTGGC